GACAATGTTAGTGTCAAAGTGGCGTGTTGGTCTAAGGAACACTATTGCCGAATTCCAGCGACTTCAACCACCAGACTCACTTCCTCTGCCAACACAGGGACACAACTCACAGCAGGTTTTCCTCCCACATAAGCTGACAGAAATTCCAGGCAGATGATGTGCAGACTACTTGTATTTGTATTTGTCAGTCACAGGTCACAGCTTTGCTGTCTGTTCCTGCCTTCTCCTATTAAAGGAACAAAAGCCACATGCTGGTGACTCCTTCTCATGTTGAGATGTGGTCCGTGGCAAGTGGATTCCTTCAGACGTGCCTGTGAAGAAGGTTTAATAAGGTGGGGAATAAACAAGATGTCCACAATATCTGCCACCTTACCCAAGGCACCTTTTAAAATCCAAGCACTTGAATACTTCTCCTTATGGACATTCTGAGTGTCATATGTAGAGAGGGCATCTGCAAGGTGCAAAGACCTCACAGGCATGGAAAGCATTGGAGCGTATACCAAGACATAAGGCAAAATAACTGGAGGGTATCCATAGGACGTCTGACCCATCAATTGAGGCTGCCCATTGTCGTCTCTAAATACATTAGTAAATGGGAAAACAGTTGCACACGGCAACTCACTAGAAGGCAGCAATACACTGGAAGACAACAAAGGCCAAGATGGGAATGATGCCCTTATGGCACCCTGGTGCTCCTCAGCATTGAAATACTTGTAGAGGGTGCCTCGGCACTCCGAGGCAATGAAGCAGTTAATAACTGTTAAAGGCGTAGTGCAGACAGCTTGACAAGTTCCAGTGAAGTAGTTGTGGTGTCTGAAATAACGAAGCAGATGTAGAGGACACAGAAGTGGTGGAGTGGCTTATGAAGGCTTCATTTAGACATCTCTACTAGTACTAGTAGTAGTAGCAACAAAACAACTGTAGAAGGAGCAAGTGTGCTCTGAGGCAACACGGCTGCTGAAGAGGCTGTCGAAGCAGTGAAGAAGCTGGTCATGGCATCGTGAAGACATCTTGAGGACAAGTAGCAATGAAGCAACTTTAGAAGGTGCGGGAGAGCTCTGAATCAATGAAGCAGCTGCAGAAGACGTCGTAGTGGAAAGAGTAGCTGTTAGTGACGTCATATATACTTGTAGTTGTGACTGCCCACTGGAGGCAATAATGGGTTAGACGACGGCAAGGCATTGGAGAACACCTCAAATGCATCGCAGAACCTTGAAATGGCTGTGACTACTTTCTGTCCCAACCTCTTCCTGACATCTTCCACCTAGTCTTCTGAAAGAGATACACATATCTGGGCTAGCTGAATGTTGGTCCAATTCCCAACATGTTTAAAAGCAACAAAACACCACGTATCGAATATTTCCATGAAAAGTACAGAACCTTGTCCAATCTTTTCACATTCTCAGACAAGACAAACTCCACAAACAGATTTTGCAGAACTATAAATATTAAAGAAATCAATTTAAAGTTACAAAGCCGTGTTGTCATACATTGTTATCATATAGATAAGCCATAGCCTCCCGCAAGTAATGGTTCCTTCAAAACCTTCAAAATCAAATTCACAATGAAATCTAAGTTTAGATATATGCACACTGCCTTGTTTTTTTTGTATATATAGCAGTATCACCAAGTCATCAAACAATATTTATATTATTATTATTTAGTTATTGGTAAAAACAAACTGCAAAGACGTAAACATGGTAAAAACATTCATATATAAGGAACCAAAAGTAGGCAGTCAGAATGCCACATACAAAGTGACTTCATAGCTTACCGAAAACTAGAAACATGCTGCAAAATAGATTTTAATTCGTGTTTAGTAACCTTGTTTCAATTTTGCATATGGCACAAGAAGACCCTAATAAACATCAATACCAATGTTGTCAGTCGTTTTCTGACTGTCTGAGGTTGGTCTTCATTGGTCAATCTATATATGGCATGCAACCTCAAGGACCATTTCAAAGGAAACCATCCAACACAACAGCCACATGTTTTGCATTGAGGTATACTGGACATTTTCTAAGAAGCTTTTTTGTAAGCATCCCTGCATGTTTTTTGGCAAAGTTCGACATGGCAAAAGTTGGTCAGTCATGTCAATACCGACCAACATCATTTTAATTAAATAGCACGCAAAACAACAAAATGATGTGATCTATACATTTTCCCAGTCGACAGTTTGGGAACTTTTTCAGGTAGCATATTCTATGTGTGCTGCCCTCATACCTATCCAGAAGCAATCTTCATTCCCTGTAGACAAGATTGAACTTTTCCCACTTCAGTATAACAGAGGAAAACAACCACTAGTCAAGCTTTACGAATGCTTTTTGATTCTTGTGGACTGTAGAAAGCAGATAACTGAAGCTACTTCCCATGTAAACAGTCTGTGATCTTTTGTGTATCAGAATAAGCAAACCATGTATGATTTATGAAGTTTGAAGGCCCGGATTATAACATTTATTGCACCATCTGTAATTCTAGCATTCCAGAAGGGCCTGTACTGATAAGTTGAATGTGTCATTTCCTATTTCAGAGCATGCAGGGCTCAAGAGGGCTGCCGAAAAAATTATCCCTGCATTTTTATCAAATCCAAATAATTGCACTGAAAGAAGCAATTAAAATTTATGATATATTCATACAAATCAAAAGTTATTCGGTCATAATGTGTCTTTTCTTCATATGAAAGCTGTCATAAATTATTTATTTTTATCAAATCCAAATAATTGCACTGAAAGAAGCAATTAAAATTTATGATATATTCATACAAATCAAAAGTTATTCGGTCATAATGTGTCTTTTCTTCATATGAAAGCTGTCATAAATTATTTATTTTTATCAAATCCAAATAATTGCACTGAAAGAAGCAATTAAAATTTATGATATATTCATACAAATCAAAAGTTATTCGGTCATAATGTGTCTTTTCTTCATATGAAAGCTGTCATAAATTATTTATGATTGCCTTTTTCAACCATGGGGACCATAAACATACACAAAAGTAATCTGTCTGTGATCTTTTGTGTATCAGAATAAGCAAACCATGTATGATTTATGAAGTTTGAAGGCCCGGATTATAACATTTATTGCACCATCTGTAATTCTAGCATTCCAGAAGGGCCTGTACTGATAAGTTGAATGTGTCATTTCCTATTTCAGAGCATGCAGGGCTCAAGAGGGCTGCCGAAAAAATTATCCCTGCATTTTTATCAAATCCAAATAATTGCACTGAAAGAAGCAATTAAAATTTATGATATATTCATACAAATCAAAAGTTATTCGGTCATAATGTGTCTTTTCTTCATATGAAAGCTGTCATAAATTATTTATTTTTATCAAATCCAAAAGTTATTCGGTCATAATGTGTCTTTTCTTCATATGAAAGCTGTCATAAATTATTTATTTTTATCAAATCCAAATAATTGCACTGAAAGAAGCAATTAAAATTTATGATATATTCATACAAATCAAAAGTTATTCGGTCATAATGTGTCTTTTCTTCATATGAAAGCTGTCATAAATTATTTATGATTGCCTTTTTCAACCATGGGGACCATAAACATACACAAAATCACATCTGTAATTCTAGCATTCCAGAAGGGCCTGTACTGATAAGTTGAATGTGTCATTTCCTATTTCAGAGCATGCAGGGCTCAAGAGGGCTGCCGAAAAAATTATCCCTGCATTTTTCTTCATATGAAAGCTGTCATAAATTATTTATTTTTATCAAATCCAAATAATTGCACTGAAAGAAGCAATTAAAATTTATGATATATTCATACAAATCAAAAGTTATTCGGTCATAATGTGTCTTTTCTTCATATGAAAGCTGTCATAAATTATTTATGATTGCCTTTTTCATACACAAAAGTAATCTGTTGGCATTGCCTGGCAGATCAGGTATTCCCAGTTTGGTGAATATCATACCTTAACATCTCAAATCATTTAGATAAATAGCCGTTTCGATCAGTATTGATCTCCATGTCAACCAATCATATGCCAGAATAATCATTTTAAAATATATCAGGTTGCTTAAGCATGTGTAAACTCTGTAAGTACTACTGTAAAGTATCTGGTAGACAAAATTGAATATTCAAATCATTACAAACACCCTATTACTAACAAGTGTCATGAAAACATTATTGAATTCTTTAAAAGAAGGATATAGAAGTTGTTTTTCCACTAAAATGAGCAGCTGCAGCGACTATTTTGACATTTTTCAAAAAGAAAAGTTTACTTCATTGTGGCTAGGGACATGTACAGCATGTTATGCAAATGATAATGATAAGTTCATTTTGAGCAGCAGCTCATTTTTGTGAGAGAATAACAACCTTTAAGCAAACCTCCTCCTCAGAAACCATTGGACATATTGACGATGTCAAGGTGAGCTAAACCTATCCTCCCAAAAAACATATTGCATGTTATTCTACATAGAACACGCTTGTCGCATTTCAAATTTCATAATGAGATGTGCAGAAACGTCTAAACAAAGGACAAAAATGACATTTTCAAAATGGCTGCCATGGTAGTCATGATTAAATTGGAATTCTGTCAGCAAATTTTAACAACAGCATAGCTAGAGCATTATATCGAGCTTCAGCCTCAGAGGGAAAACTGCAACATAAAGTCACTTCAGTGAACAGTGCAACAGTGAATGCCAGGCCCTTGTATGTGCTTTCTTGCATTGGTTGCGATTTTTATGTGGACATGTAGATGTTGAGCTGAGTTTATGAGCATCAATCAAAGGCATAAGGGTAGGACTTGAACACTTAAGCAGCGAGGTAATAGCTGAAGTGGTCCTCCTAAAGGATATGGTGACTATCCAGCTCACAGCTGACTGACTGACTGATATAGGAGATTTAACGTGCGCTTTCCGACTGTAGCGTATTTCGCACACGGATCTCACAGCCTTTGTTATCTGTTATTATAAGCATAGGCACTGTGGTAATGGGGCATTGGTCATTTTTCTAAAATATGCCTGTGGCTCCCCGATTGTGGCAACTTACCTTTGGTTCCTATCCATAACTGATCTTGTTCAAGTTTAAAAGTGAGACGGACCTTTCCTCCAGCCTTGTTGTACATACCAGACAGAGGGAATGATGGTAAAGGCTCTCGTACATTCTTAATGCCAGGCATTGCATCATCAGGTTTACCATGCTTTTCTAAAACCTTTTTGTGCAACTGGAAGATAAAAAAAGCTTTGTGACAGAAAGTATGAAGACATTTAAGAGGAATGAACATGGGGTTAAAAAATTGTGTTTTCCTTCTTCTATCTTATGAAATCCTGACTTATTTGTCCACACACACACACACACACACACACACACACACACACACACACACACACAGTGGGAGAGTGATAATATTTATGATTGTGTCACGCCCCATACTCATCTGGTCAACCCTATATTTCTAAGGGCACTTTATTATCACCTGTCTGTGAATAAAATTAAAAGAATCTGTGTCTTGCTAAATTACAGAGATATTTGCATAACATGAAAGCAGGGGGAAAGCACAATCATCACTATTTCCTCAAAATATTAACAAACCAAAAATTAGACAACACTAAACACAAGTGCAACAGCACTAAGATCACCTGGATACAGTCAAGTCAAGTCCCATTGCATATGATTATGTTGATTTAACGAGTATGTCGGATAAACGAAATTAAGTTGAGTATCAACGTTTGTGATCAAATCAGACAACTACACGATAGATAACGATTCAAACACGCAATATAACTTCACCTCTCTCTTTTTTGCAATTTCAAGGTAGAAGAAGTTTATAGAGCCCAATATTAATTGCAAATATCAAATAAAGATCAAAATGTAAAATGTGGTGAACCCCACTACTAACATCAAACATACAAATTTCATTACATTTTGAAAAAATGACTGCATAAACATCTTAAAGTAAGTGTTACAAGGTGATTTCTAGATTTAAATGCAAATGTTAATCCAGGAATCAGTTTGAACAGAACTAAATTGTGAAATCGGAGAATGACCACACAAGATCAATGAATAATTAATAACGTGTTGAAACACAGACTTTTAATGGGTCAAATAAGTGGCATCAGCCATAAGTAACAGGCCAAGACTTAATGTAGGTGCACTCATGAATGTTCAGAATTTTATCATGGTCGAATGTCTTAAAACAAGTCTGTCTCCATTCTTGAACGAGAATAGTGTTGAAAACTGGCAGGGATTCAGTATTTTCAAAAAGATATCCAATCCAATCTTAGGTCTTAATCCAACATCCTCCACAATAGCACATTCATCCTTCATCTTACCTAATACCTTTTTATTTACTGGCTGTGCAATGGATTATCTTTTGGGTAATCACTCGTGTCATCTATTTTTTCTGCCATATCTTTATACTCGATTTGTATTTCAAGCTGTGTATTTCCATTAATAAAGAATCTATGTCGGTATAAAACGCCTCCCATCTATCGCCGTATTGCTTCTTTATATGTTTGTGGTAATAAAAGTCATACATTGAGTGTTTTGACAAGTCAAGAACACTCATACCAACGTACACCTGACTGTTGAATTTTTTATATTACTCTTCTGCATATGTAGTGCCGCTTAGTCGTTATAAAATATCTTGCTTCCGTTAAAAGCTGGACTGGCTATAAGTTTTCTAAGCCTTTCTTCCTCATTAGATCTGACTAATTTAACATCAACACGCTTCCTTAGATTATCCATGGTTTTACCAAATACTGAGTTATTCATGAGCTTATATAGATTCTTTTTGAAGTCGCTGGTAGTCTTTAGAACTCTGTGTATTTTCTTAAGTGATAAATATAATTGGAGATTTCTAAAGTTTACTATATATTTTGTCTTATCCATCAAATTTGGTACGAGTTTTCTTTGTTAGCTAATCTAGTATTGCCTATCAAGGAGTGTTGATGTTTGGACATCCAATCTCTATTAACCATTAATCTTTCGGAAGCTAGCGGATAACTGTTATGGTCTTTGTGTAGCCCTGTTGGATATTCTAAGTCAACTTCTAGTATGTACCCTTTATCTGAATCTGCAGGAATATTATTCACATTGATATTGTTTACCCACTCAAAACCACCCGTGGGTAAAGGTTGACTCATAGCCCATCTGTACAAATTGTTGGCGTCGAGATATAATATGTGCATATCGGGTTTACTCGGATCATATCCTTCCACTAATTTATTATAAGCCTTTGAATACCTTTTCGCCGTCATCAACTAGCACTTCTTAATCCTTTCTCAACAAACACGTGCATATCATAATCGGTGAGTAATTTTAGTTCTACATCGGTCTTCTTCAACAGTGCATTCCTATGAGAGTCCGGGACTGGAATAGTACCACGCCAGATCCAAGCCATATTGTTTTAAACATGTTTTTCTAAATATCTAAAAAATATGGGTGAGTAACAGAACATCATTTTTAAGTACAGAACGTGATAATCACCTAATTTCTTACAACCTAATTTATCCCACATCGTCATGTTCATAATCGGCATCGGTTATTTTAGATTCTATTAAGTTACTATAGAATGATTCAACGGGTGGTAATTTAGTGTCGTCGAATCTTGACCAATCATCCATATATTCAGAAGGATATACACCTTTTCTCAGCAACAAATGCCGTCATAACCGATCAGTATACTGATTTGTTATTGCAAAGTCATCAGGATTGTTCGCATTAGCTAAATTGTCCAGGAAAGATAACAGAAACTGTACTGAGTCTATGAATCTAAGTCCATTACTTTGTTTTGTTCTCGCTTTCCCATCCTTGTCTGTATAATATACACAAAGAGTTAAGCACACCCTAATATATTTCATTTTTGTCTGAAAGATATAAATATAGCTGCAAAGCAGTAATGGCGGGCACCAAGTTACACTGTGCACATCCATATTCAAATCCTCAAAGGGTTTCCTTGTACCAAATCCGTCAACATGTAGGCACAACTTGCAGGGTATCCCCGCTACGAAATTGGCGTTTTAGTCTGTTCTAAACCCATTTCCGACCTCAGACATGTTTGAATCCCCAAAGGGTTTGTTTGTATCAACTCTGTCAAAAGATAGTCACCGTTTGCAGGACATCGCCGCTATGAAATTGGCGTGTTCCAGGGGTGTCCCAAATATTAATCAAGTATCACCACCAAGCGATCTTACTTTAAGCAGCCAACCAAGAACAAAAAATGAGATGCATATCGCACACTTACTTCATGTTAACTTGCAATAGTTTCTGTCAACAACCTTACAAGATATGATATTAAGAGTAAAAAATTCCGGTGAAAAAAATGATCATAATCAAAATCCAATAAAATTGCAACTAAAAAAGACATCCAAAATCGGCTATTAAGGTTTGATGTGTAACAACTGTTCAGTCGGCACTTGAGAAGGTTGCGTATTTGCATGACAATGTTGACAAAGAAGCGTTTGAAGCTCTCCATGAAGATGCATTATACACAAATACAATATCAGCCTTTCAGCAGTACCAAGACTTTCTGAGGAAGGGAAATGGAGATATGTCTGCATTCTGGACATCCTATACAGACATGGTTGAGATTGTTTTGGGTCTAATCCGTGCTTCAAGGGAAGGCAACTGGCTGCTGCATTTATCCTGCATCAGATCCATTACACCTTGGTACTTTTCATGACAAGCAAAACTATGCCTGATACCTATCAGCATATCTTGGTCAAATGTCACATTTGTCCTCCTCTCACAGAGACATTCATGAGACATTCTGGAGAACGGTGGGTTTTCTGTTCAGATTGGGTCTAACAATCCTTTTGGAAGAATTCCAGTTGACCAGACTCTGGAGGAAACCGCAAACAAAGACACACAAACGGCTGGAGGAACCAAAGGTTTCAGTCTTAAGGCAGGAGCTGTTACAAAATACTATCTGATGGCAGAACACCGCAGCATCTTCCTTGGACAGATCCGTAATATGACGAAGATGAATAGATCGTCATTCAGTCACCCAGATTTGCAACAGACAAGGATTGCCAAAGATGAAACAAATGTTGGATCAGTAGTGGATATGCTAGAGAACAACTGGATCAATCCTTTCAACAATGCTGAGTTGGTGTCACTATCCACTGCTGCTGCAGCCACTCCAAACATCACTTCTGAACTTCTGAGAGCAGAAGAAATAGGAGAAAAGTCTGTCAGTGACTTTCATTCCAGACGTCTTCTTACCAACCCTCCATTGCAGAAATTTCACGATCGGTTGCCAAGAAACAATTTGAAAACCTTCAGCAATCTGACCAAGAAGAAGCAAAAGGTTCAAACTAGTCAAGCTGAAGTAGTGCTCAGAGCAGATAGAAATCGGTTTGCTCATATGGTCATAATAGCACAGAGCAGACAACTCAATATGAAATCTGTATTCAGCCACCCCCTTGGACCTTTACCACTGTCACTTGCATACCCTGATGGATCACTCAGAAAGACAAGTAAATCAACTTTGGCCAGGGAATTGGAGAAAACTGCACCATTATCAGAAACTATTCCAGAACCATCTTGTACTTTGATTGATGAAATGGCAATTGTACAGAAAGTCAAGGGTGATAACAAGACTTTCCAAACTGTTGCTGATGACATTTTTGTACAGATTTTGCATGAAGGAGACAAAAGTCAACGAATTGACGTAGTGTTCGATGTGTACAAAGATGTGTCCATCAAGAACGCAGAAAGAAGTCACCGTGGAGCTGGTACAGGAACACAGTTTAAGAACATTGCACCTGGTCACAACATCAGACAATGGCGAAAGTTTCTGTCTAGGTCAAGCAACAAGCAGAATCTCATCCAGTTTCTCGTCATGGAGTGGAAGAAGGAGAAATATACTTCTAAGATTGGCAACAAGAACTTGTTCATCACATGTGGAGAGGATTGCATTCAGCTTAGTCCAGAAAGCTGTGACTATATAGAGGAATTAAACTCAACACAAGAAGAAGCAGATACTCGACTTCCTCTTCATGCCAGCCATGCGTCAACTCAAGGTTACAGAACCATTATTGTATGTTCTAAGGATACCGATGTATTTCTCCTATGCCTGTCTTTGCTTTCCCACCTGCAGTCGGATGTCTACATGAAGCATGGAACAAGAAACAGAACAAGATTCATCAGTATATCCAATGTTAGGAAGGCACTGGGACAAAATGTATCTGAAGCCATTCTTGGATGCCATGCCTTCACAGG